CAAATTGTGCGTTCCGTGTTTCACGGGAATAAGTACCCCTCGAAGTACCCATTTGCGGATCGGAGTTTTTGACTATAATTAAGGGAGGAAAGGCCAGAATTGGCGACTCTTGAAAGCTGACAATCCTCAAAAGATTCTGAAATACACGACAGTTTGTTACACAAATGTTTTGCTTCAAAACCTCGAAGCTACCAAATACAGGTTGGGTGATCCGCGCCGTGGTTTTTTTCTGCTTATACTGTACCGGATTCATGCGTACGGACGGGTTGCATACTCGCACGGGGCCGTAAGGCGCCACGGCGAGCGACGATAGGCAAGCCCGCCCGCACGCATGAATCCGGTGCAGCATAAGCAGAAAAAAACCACGGCGCGGATCACCCAACCTGTACATAGTCACTCAAAATTTTATGACATGTGTTGCAGCGGATTCGTACCAAAAGCTGAAAGTTTTTTTGTTGTTGTTAGACTCTCGTACCTATGCCAGCTGTAACAACAACCGCGCGTGTACGTACGTATGTGCATTGCCTCCCCGCATTCCCTGGGGATTCCCCCGCGCCGCGTGCGACAGCGCCGGGCCCGGCCCCCATGATGGCCCACATGGTGTCGGCGAGGTGGCCCCGCGGAGGTGTCCCTGTGGCCCGGTTCTCAGGGCTCTCCCCGCGGAAGGCGCTGCGTGACAAACGTACGCCACACTCTTTTTATCCCGTTATCAGAAGGCCGAGGCTGTGCGGGTGGCAGTGCAGCCGCCACTTGCAGGTCGTTCTGCAGAGCAGCGGTGGTGGCTCCAGGACGATCAGGGGCTTTATCGTCGGCGATATCGTCTGGTGCAGGCGGGCCGGGGCCGGGCGCGTCGCGTGGGAACGCCCCGCCCGCCGCCGTCCTCTCGGGGACTCCTCGCGCACGGGGCGCGACAGCGACGCAGCCCGGCGGCCCGGCGTGGGCGATGCCGAGCCGGCGATGCAGACCGGTGCAGACGAGCCGTTGTTGCAGCACGACTGCGTGATGTTTCCTTGTGACCGGGCTGCTGTTGCTGCTGCTGCGGTCCTGCTCTAACAGCCCCAGGAGAGGTGCGTGGTCCCGGAGGACAGATGTAGGATGGATTGCCCAGGCCCAGGTGTGGGATAGCCCAGGAAATGTGTCCGTTTTTGTCTGACAAATTCGTCAAATTGACGGGAGCACGCCACGCCGCCTGCGAGACTCGAGGTAGGCCACCCCGCGGTACACGCATGCAGTGAAGGCAAGATGTTGCCTAGCCGTTCGGCGCTATGAGAGCCTGCAGCGGTTGAACTTGGCAGGTTCGTAACGGCGAATCATGGACGTTTGCTTTCTGGATGATATCCCTTTAACTTCTGCACACGGTAAAAAACAGTTCTTCGATGTTCAAGCACCAAAGACACCGATTCAAGGACGTCTCATGTGTTTTTCAAGGAGCTGTCTTACCGTGCATCTATGGCAATGTAATGACATGATCGTGTGGCTTAATAACAGCAAACTCAACTGTTTTGTTGCGTGCATAAGAGTTTGCTCTTTGAAAGCATAGATGAGAACATGCAAGGTCTAACTTTTGCAAGTAGACTTCTTAAATGCACCTAGAAACCAGGCTTTTATTTATCCAAACCAAAACAACAATCCGCATAGAACATTCAGTGGGCACTCACTAAACACACGCTGCACTTGCGCGAATAGCGGCACCCGGCACCACACGCCACACCTCTGTGGACCACGCCGTGCCACGCCACGCCGCGGACGTCGTTTCCACACAATGCTCCGCCAGCTGCACTGGGAACGCAAATGTGTGAATGTCGCACACTTGCAGGTGTGTGAACATCCATTCGTACACTTATGTGGGTAAACGTGTGAATTTTTTCTAGAAAATTCATACGTTTACCCTCCTAAGTGTACGAATAAACATTCACACACCTGCAAGTGTGCGACATTCACACACTTGCGTTTCCAGTGTGAATAAACTATAAAATCACGCGGCGTAATCTGTATGGTCCGGCAGAGTGTCCGTGTCCACTGTCCCCTCCGGTCCCCTCCGCCCGCTGATGGTGATGGCCGAACCCGAGGTGATGTGGTGATGGTGACTTGTGTCGACGTCACCGCCTCCTGCTGCAAACGTTCATGGCGGCAGATGGGCAAATGTACCCAGTACATTGCAGTCAGTGGCGCGATGGCGCGGGACGACGAGGGACGAGGCCGTCACCCTCGGGAATAAGAAGGGTTCGCACTCCTTGTTCTGAGCTCTGGAATGTAATATTGTTAAACTTGCCGTGCTCCCGGCGGGTTCCGGCCCGCCGACATCTCCTATATACCCATTTCCACCAGCAGCAGTTCGATTTGCGGTGTGAACCGGTGATTCCGTTTTTGTATTCCGCCCTATTTTCGCCTGCGGTTTCGTGATGGCAAAGCGGAGAAAGGAACGTGGGGGAACGTGGGGCAACTAAAGTTTTAAAGAAATGAATATGAATATTGCGGCAGATTGCTAGGCAGAGTGGAATCTCTGGGTGTTGTTTCGGAACCCGTTTCCGTAAAGAAACAGAGGAGTCGGTCCGAATTGGACATCGACAGGAATCGCCTATTACGCAGATGGGCCTCGGCAAAGACTCTAGGGCGGGCCGGCCGGTAAGGGGGGGGGGGGGGGGCAGAGCGGCCTGCCCTGGCTCTCTCATTACCGCGACCGAACTGCCGAGCCGCCGAGTAAACGGCGATTGGACTTGATTGATTTGACATCGATTACCGAGTTAGCGTAGCGCTCGGCCGGACGGCCTGCCGAGGGAGCGGGAGCGGTGGCCGTGTGCCGGGCGGCGAGGGCCAGGCCGCACCTCAGCATGCGGCCCCCAAGGCCCCAACAAATGTCGAGGGAGTTTATCGGGTTGAGTCAAGGCACGCTGACCTGTCAATACTGTTCATTGTTTACTTTGAGTGTCATAGTACGGTAAAGCCGCGTAACACTGCCATGGTGTCTCAATAATTCACTGGTGAAAAGTGAAAAGGACGTAAGTCCACGGATAGAATGCGGCTTTCCTAGGTGCGTTACTATGTCCTGAGTGTGGGGAAGACTTGATGATGTACTAATGAATTCCTTTTTGTTTCCAGGGATGACGCGGACGCCCCACGCCCCGGTGGGGGCGGCATGGCCGCTGGTGGCGCTCTTGGTAGTCGTCGGCGTTGGCTCGAGTTTAGCGGCCAAACCTGGTGAGTCCATTAACCCCAAAAATATGTTCTTTGTTATGGTACATTGTTTTCGTTCTTTGATTTTCTTGAGTGCACTGCGCTTGTGTTTGGGAGCATTCTATACTCAAAAAGAAGGCATTTTCTTATTCGTCGTTGTGTCGTTGCCGGACGACCTTCGAATTAGCGTGCGGTCGTTTTCGATCGTGTGGAGAAAAGTTTACTCTGATAGCGAGAGACTTTGTCGTGATTGTAAGGTGGTTGGCGGGGCAGGGCGGGGCTGGGCGGGGCGGGCATTAGCATGGGTCGTGATAAGCCCGGCCCCCAGTCCACTCCTCGCCGCGCCGCGCCGGGGTACCTCCTCCTATCCCATTACGCATTGGCTTCACTAGAGCGGCCCAAATTGAGACCAACCACCACGTCCGTTTTCTTCTTTTTTACGGTAATTCCCAAAGCGGAGGAGGAGGAGGAGGCTGGCCCCTCCCATCGCCACGCCTCGCTCGGCTTCGCCGCGGAGCGCCGCGCCGCGCCACAGCGTGCGATTCGTGCGAACCATCGCACATCTGGCGGGGCGGCGCGGGCCGGCCGCGGCGCCGCGAGGCAGGTCGCTCTGTTTGGGGATTAGTGTCGAATGGGCAATTTTCCGGGCGGCGGAGGTAATGCCTTTATCGAGGGTGGCGGCCGCCAGGCGGCGGGTCCGGCCGTGTCACAATCACAATGGCGAGCCGGCCGGTGGTTTCGCCACGTGGGCGCCGCGTCACGCCACACCGCGGGTCAGGAGCCGTCGGCAGCCTGGCGATCATAATTGTGTGGCGGTTGTGCTTCTCTTAGTGTCGCTCACAATGTTTCCTGAGGTGGTGCGTCCGTCTTGACTGTCGCTTACTGTGCACATAATGTTGCCAGTTCTTTACCCCCTTTGACCCCTGTGGTCTTTTTAGTCAGCCTCCATATGCGAGTCTTGGCAAAGACAGTGACCACTCGCGGCATTAGAAAGTAGATAGTCCTGTGATCTTGTGGAGGTATTTTATCTAAGTGAAGTAGAATTTTAAATATCTACAGCGTTAACACCAGCTTCAAACAGTTTTAAACCGGTTATATATTTTTTTAAATGTTGTACATGGATTAATGATGCACTCATCGTACGAATTTTGGTAAAAGGGAACTATGAACTGTACTTTTCACGCAGTAAATCTTGGGAACAGATTATTAAGATGGTTTTTATAATAGATGGTTTAAAACTTTTTTTAATGCACCGAGAGAAGCTATTAGTCCGTATGACTAAATTCGAGTTGAAGGAAACAAGATTTACTACCTAAATCCAACGAAACATTTAATCAAACTTTTACAATGAAATGTGATCAGCCCAACCAAAAATATTGTCAGACTGATTACTTTATATCAACCTGACTAAATTATCCAATCAACACGATTAAAATTTGGTCGACGGAAACAAAATTTCGTTGGTTTTCTCAACACTAAATTTCGTTGAGTTGAACAATCGGTTTTCTGAGTATGCTGTGTATTTGTTTTCGATTTTTTAAAACGTAGTGACCTATTACGTCACGCATACTATTAGTCCCATAGGGAAGGGCTGGTTCTCGAAAGCCGTGTCTGTCGACCTTAACACCTAATGGCGTCACTTACGCTTCCTTGAAAGGTGCATCAGTGGGTCAGCTTCAGGGACACTACTTGGCCGGTAGTGGCGGGGGGCTTTTGCTCGCCTTTTTACAGCGCACAGTGGCGTTAGGCGGCTGTCTGCGGTGCTTTGGGGCGCGCAGTTATCCTGACTTACCGGCTGCATGCCGTGCCGCTATGGGCCGCCCCGCCCCGCCCCGCCTGCCGCTGCGTACGTGTGTTAATGCCTGGCCGGACGGCACCGTTCGGAGTGCAAGTAACAGCCCATTCGGTTATTCGCACTCCACGCAGGTGCACACGCACACACACACACACGCACCAGCTACCACCGCATTACTGCACTGCGCCGACTAGCGCAGCTGCTAGCGGTTCAGGCCATCCAAGGCGTCTCCTTCAGGAGCAAATAACGTGCAAAATAATAGGTTGGTGCGCTTGAATGCTTGAATAAGATATTGTGTGTGTGTGTGTGTGTGCGTCTTGCGCGAGTGTGTGCGTGCGCGGCGGGTACTGAGCCCATGAAGCATCTGCTAACCACAGTTAAGGAGTCCCGTAGGGAAGTAACAAAGCGGCGTACACCCGGTAGCCGGCCGGGGCCGGGACTGTGCGAGGCTATGGGCGAGCGAGAGAGGGTTGCACTGTTTAGCGGCACAGGTGAGGAGTAACACGACCGTGTGAAAGTCGAAAAGCTCGTCGCAAAGGGAAAGGCTTATTGTTTACGCGGCTTTAGGTGTCACTGCAGGATACATTTGTTTGACTAGAGTATAGGTTGTGATTTGCCGTGTGTTAGGGATCGTATAGAAAGGACGTCCGGTTTTCTCAGATTCATTCCGCAAAACTACGCAAGCTCGGTGCCTGTGAGACTCGGGATAGGCCATCCCTCAGTACACGCACGTACTGCAGGCAAGATATTGCCTACCTTTCAGGCGCTATGATAGCAGCATAGGCTGAACTTGGCAGTTTAGGAACAGAAAAATATGAGCATACATATTGTTGTGTCTGCATTCTGCAATGCACCAATGTGTGATGGGTTGTATACCCGCCAGGGGTTCCTGAGCTACCTGTACTTAGCGCCACCTGTAGGAGTTTGCCTCGGACCAACCGAGCCTGTCTGTAGTCAGTCTGTGCTGGCCGCCCTGTACTTATACTTTAGTGGAATAAATCCTGCATTCATTCTAGGTACTTGTGTCTTCTCAAGAAAACAACAACGAATGTTCACATGGCACTCAGGCTCCTACCTAATCAGGCACGGTTTCACGGGAAAGGGAGGGGGTGGCTGGAGGCAAGGCTGAAAAATAGACAGTAAACTACCGGGAGGATATGCTAGAAACCATACAGAAGCCAGACTTATAACCGCGCCGAGTCTTAATCTCGTCTAACTTTTGCCACTGAAAGAGAAGGGGAAACATATATTACATCCCCGCACCAGGTGCGAAGCAATAAGAAACAAATAGAAAATAACGCCATACATGACGTCCATTAACGCGTGTATTAAAATCGTAATTGAAGCAGCGTTAATGGCTGCCGCAGCCGGTAGCCGCCCATGAGGGGGTTAGCACTTGATAGTGCACCGCCATGAGTTGCATTTCACGGACATGAGCAGTCTGATACTTTATATAAAGCCTGCCGGGTGGTCCCCCGCCCC